AAGAGGAAGAGGAAGAGGAAGAGGAAGAGGAAGAGGAAGAGGAAGAGCAGGAGGAGAAGAACAACCAGAAACACAAAATGCCGATAATGCAAGGCGGCTTGGGCAGCATAGCTCGCAGCACGGGCAAGACAATTGCAAAGCACAAAAATACGTAAACGCCAGTCCATCTGGTTGGCGGCTCCTTTAACCTTCGGTTTGCGGCAAACGCACGGGCCGGTGCGCGGATTTGAAGCAGTAGCGCAAGAGATCGGCTGGCTTTCTACTGAATAGAGTGTCTATACTCTTTTTTCTGATGTTGTGGAGTGGCAGTTGTCCATTTTAGTCAAGAGCGGCGTTTTCTATCTATATCCAGGGGGCTTGACTACCTCCCGTAATTCGGACGGGGATACTATCGGGCACTACTGCCCATCCCACATTTCCATGTGGGTCCCAAACTCCTAATGGAGACTGTTGATGGTAAAACCTCTCCAGATGTGGGTGCTTATTCATCAACAGTCGACATTACAAGACACTTGGATGGAGAAAACTGCTGGGTGTGGCCGGGCAGGTAGTTATGGCACACTGCTTGGAGGCCGGATGGAGGAGACACGCGCACACACACACATATACATATATATATATATACACACACATACATACATACATACATACAAACATACATACATACATACATACATACATACATACATACATACATGTCCTCTCAAGCAAAGCAAAGAGCAAGCCTCAGCTGTTGAACTCATTGCCAGTACATGGAGCGTCATCCCAGAGGCCATTCAGGCCAAGCTTACCACCCTAGGCTATGGACCACCTCCTCCAGAAGAACCTGAACTCACAGAGCTTCTGAAGAGCCACATGACTGCTCTCCCTCAAGAGGTGCAGGCAGTAGTCACGAAACTGACTCAGCCCATGCCCGACACCGAAAAAGAGCTGGCCAACAAGCTGAAGGCACAAGTAGGCGAACTGAAGACGGCCTCAATCAAGAAAAACCAACTCCAGTCTCGTTTGGACCAGATCAAGTCACAGTATGCTGCTATGCTTCAGGACATGCAAGACTTGCAAACCAGATTGAGTGAAGGCCAAACCAAACTCAAGCAGTTATCCGACCAGTACATGAAGGTCACCCAAACTCCCATGCCTGAAGGACTCGAGGGTGAGAACACCAAGGACTTACCCATTCCTATGGCAGTTGAAACCTTTGTCACCAGCTTGGGAATTGACCTGACAGAAGATCAACGGACACAACTCCATGGACTCCTCAAACGCCCACCGACTGATGATGAGGACATCCACAAGCGCCGCAAGACTGACTCCACACCCATCCTACCAGGGACACAGTGTGGGTAACAGTCCCCATCTCGAACAAAACCTCCCAGCGTTTCAGGTGCCAATTCCCTGGGAAGACTTCGAGGCATCACACCAATCACCGGTTTGCCGTGCTGCATCCGGCTCAATCCAGCCAGGGATTTCCTTCCAAGGTGCAGGGGACAAGTCACCTTTTGACAGGAAGGAACCAATTTTGCCAACCGAGGGACAGACAACATATGGTGCAGGGGATACCACCAACATGTTGCGACCACAAGCATCCCACAAGCAGATGCACAGTTTTGATAGTACCACCGCACCGGCCACACCCGTGGATGGACTCTCCAGTGTGGCACCTGGAGACCACATCATTGCCATCAAGGGTGGAGCCAACCACATTCAGAACAAGTCCGCCACGACAGGACGACAACCCAGGATGCAAAACACATATGCATCCACAACAGAATGCATACTTCAAAACCTGTCAATGGCCATAGGAAATCCCAGCTCTCGGTGTTTTGCCAATGCACCATGGAGAGCCTTCACATGGACATGCGGGCTCCTCCAAGAGACGCACACAGAACCTTGGGGCACTCTGCATGCAGCAGTTCAAGAGTCACTCGAACTGGCAGACGCAGTGGACATCCAACAGCTACCAGGTTTGCATCGTCTCTGGACAAAACATGACCTCAATGTCCAAGGAGACGCCAACCACTTCGTGAACACACTATGGAACCTGTCCCAGAGCCGAGCATTCCACTACCGATATGCGGAGATCAAGGCCGGAGGCTACCTTGCCGATC